ACATTTTGCACTTTAAAAATCATACGATTATATTATATAGAATAGTATGATCTATTCATTCATCTATTACACTATTAAAATGAAAAAAGCAACATTAATATATACATATATATGTATTTATTAATCTGTCATGTAAAAGTATTTGTAAGATTGAAGTTGTTACGATTTTATGAAAAGTATTAACAATACTTCATTTGCAAAAAAAAGAGTGATTTATCACTATGACAGAAAAACAGAATTATTTTTGAGATATTATTTAATATAATAATATTTCGTGATTGAAAGCCGAAGAAAATAGTTAATTTTCATTGGAATGCATTTTATCACGTCACAATGGATTTATCAAACAATTATATAATGAGGGCACTAATGTAATTCATATATTAATAATACGAACGAATGCGAATGAAATCGTATGATTAAGAAAGATTACAACTTTTAGGGATTCGAGTTAAAATATGATTTCGCGGAAGAAAAAATCTTTATATGGTATTTATAAATTTAAGCAATTTTCTACGTTTGAATACAATTAATGGCACGTTTTATCATTGGCCTATTAACTTTATGTTTTACAATATTACTAATGAAAATGACGAAGCTTCTTGCTTCAAATTCTCACTGTTTATATACAGTATTTTATGATGCCATGTATAATGGTTTTTTGGATAAATCATTTGTAAATCATCGTAAACTTATAATCCTATTAGTCTATTAGTGATTTTTCTTTTCTAAAATACAATCACTGCAACGAAGTTTGAGACCAATCAAGCAATAGTTATATATCTAAAATATTAATATTTATTACAATGTGCGTCAAACGTACGTTTTAAAAGTGCATGCTTTATTTCATTACGAAACGATCAAATTACTAACATATTCTAGTAATAGTCATAACAGTGATAGATGATTCTACAATTGCTTTGGTAAGTTTGTAAATTCATTAGATCAATTGTAACTTTTTTAATTTCTCACGTTAAAGCATCTTTAAACATGGAAGAAGTATATGCTCGATAATTTATTATAAAATCTGTCCTTATGTTTCATTAGCTTCCAGATGTGATTGAAATTTTTTTTAAAAATTTTTTATCGAAAAAAATAACGTTGATATAATTTGTTGGGCATTTAAGCATTTGGTAATATATTTCTTAAGGTTGGTGAAATAAAACTTTAGATATTCTGACCGACCCGCAACTTAATTGATTAAGCAGAATGGACAAAACAATTGTTAAAGAGAAAGACTGTCTCCGCGTTATAAATGAATGGGCTTATTTGTCAAAATAATTGTTGCTTAGAATTGGCAAATGTCGGATAATATTTTTCCGAGTATTTTAAATAAATTACAAAAGTATCCTTAAGAAATTGAAATCAAGTGCTCAATAAAGAGCAATGATGAGCGGTTTCGTTGTTTATAGTTGCTTGATTCACTTCGATTGTCACGTGAGTCTGCCAATCCGTGCGCGGCGGCTTTATGCTAAAAGTGCCGTGTTAAGAAAAGGGGAAAAAATAAACAGCAAATGAATCGTCGCCGCAATCGTCCTAAATGTGTACACTCGCATGCGCAGCTAATATATCTATATTCATCTGACTTATTTCTGACTATAACTTTCCACTGCGAAATTAAATCTCCACGAGATTTTCATCGTTTACTCGTTCATTCCTTACGATCGAAAATATTCCTTAATTGGTGAAATTGATCTGATCTTATTAACGATGCTGCTTTCAATTAGAAATTATAATTTTTTTTCTATATAAATCGCTCGATTACTAAGCCAAGCAAATTGACTTTTTAATTCCTTTATAAATTAAAATGTTCCAACTGCTTGTTACTCTCACATTGCCGACAATACAAAAAGGAAAAATATATAATAGATATTGCAAATCACATTGAAAACGAATTTTTCAATAAGAAAACACTAAATTTGTAGATTGCCTAGAAAGTTGGTCAAAATCATGTTCTTTTATTATTATTATTATTATTATTAAAAATCTTAATGCTACATTAAACATTCACTCAAACGATTATGTCAAATAATATCTTATCAATAACTTTTTCGATTTAGCAGATTTATGTTTTTATAAATTAATAAATTCGGTCGAATAAGCTCAATTAAATTGCCGAACAATTGTATTTAGGCGTTAATTTATCTGTGTGTATTTTGAAATTGATAACATAACAATGAAATAAAATAAATCTCAGTTAATTTATTCTAGTGATTGTGTTTTATTTCTTGTTTCAATTAAATTTTTTATTATGGTACTTTTTATTCGTTTTTTTTTCTTCATTTTAATTATTTACGAATAAATCATTAGATTGTTAAAATAATTTATAAATAACAGCGCGTTTGTCGGTAAATTTATTATTGTTGAAGCTACCTTTTAAATGTTTAAAAAGTGTACGCTATAGTTTTTTAAACTTCGAACGCATGTAAAATGTTTCGCGGATGCTATACTTTGATTATCAATAAAGATTTGTTGATAATTACTTTTCAAACGAGAATTAAAATATTTTATAAATCACAGATTAATATCGATAACGAGAATGACCTACTTTCAATATTTTAAGTTATTTTTATAATTTTTACAATTAAATAAGAACAATCAATTGTGAGATATTCCATAATTTTGAAGTGTTTGCAACAATTTTACTTTTAGTGGGACTCGTTTATTAGAAGGTAAACAAAACAGCATCGATTAAATAGTAGATGCATCGAATTTTATCGAAATTGATAAGGAAATAATGTCTGTGTAGGCATTTTAATACGTGAAAACTAACATTTCCGCGCGCGCGCGCGCGCGTGTCATGTTACAAAAGATAAAAATTGTACGTAGATGAATGTGAACGTAGCATGCCATTAGGAATTGTGCATTTTCCTACAAAGAGCATTGTTAAATAACGTTTGACTTTTATTTAACTTAAAAACTTAAAACAATAGACCGCTATCCACATTTTCTAATACATTACGTACGTATTGCGATAAATATTGACGATTAGTCAATTAGATTAATTTTCCTCTTTTGTTCTCTAAAGTATGATACAAGTGGCACCGAGTCAAAGTAATATTATAACAATCGTACAAAGTAGAAATACTTGAAGCGAAAAGGATTTTCGTATTTATAATCAATATCGGACGAGCCTTAAATCTTCGTTTAAATGCGCACACGCGTGCAATAATGTCACTGTGACAAGCTCGTTTGAAATAAGATACTCGGTAAAGATTAATAGAATGCAGAATAATGCTGAAGAAATTTCACATTAGCAGTGTTACTCGTTTGCTTTCAGCTCGTCAAATTTTCATACGTAAAGTGTGTATATTATTCAGTCTTAAAGAATTTGTGTAGGTTATAAGTACGTGATTTATTGTCGAATAAAAACATAATAATGAAATAATGAGAAAGTAAGTCATGACTTGACGAAGCGTATGGCATCAGCGCAATAACGCAAATGAAAAGGCCGACGAGGTTCTATCGAGAATTTCGTAGACACGTCGAGAGCAAATTTGTCGTGCCGCAACTGGCGAGATACAGCTGACAGCCATGGAAAGTGAATTAAGGGTCGAAAATGAGCCTCCGAGGGCATCGGAAAGCTAAGCTCGAGAAATTCCGATATTACGGGCCGTTAAAAACTGCGCAAGAGTACTGATGATAATGATAACGACGACCTACGACGACCACAATGACCACGACGAACACGACGATAACGACAAAGACAAAGACGATACGGAGGAGAAGTACGCGAGTACGCAAACCGAATTGTCTAAATGCGTGAGAGTGAGGAGAAACGTTTTTGATAAGCTTGGAAACGTCGTGGCGTCCATCGCCTGCAGCTGTTACCCTCCCCCGTTGACACGCACTTCGACTTCAGTGTACAGGGAGATAAGGCGAGCTTACGAAAAGGCCGTTATTTCGGGCTCCGGGACTCTGAACGCGGCACAATTTGCCTTTTAACGGACCTTTTGCCCGTGCGCGCGCGCGCGCGCGCGCACCCGAGCCATGGGTTGGCCCAACGAGGACGGTCGCTGGCGCAAAGAACGCACGCTTCGCTCTCTCGGCACCGATACTCATTATCGGAGCGTCATGCATTCGTCTGTCTGCCAATGACTTTTCGTGCACGCGAGATCGACGATAAGCCTATCTCTTTCTCCCTCCCCCTTCGCCTCGCTCTATTTCTCTTACTCCCCGCTGACTTGACGCCTCACGACCAACATCGCGGCGAGTCTTAATCCGAATATTACTGCCAATATAACCCGAAATATTTTAATTATTTGTCGAACGAGTGATCTCGCGACTTATTCATGAAGTTTGGATTTTTGCCCAATTTGAATTTTCAAACAAATTTTTTATACAACCTGAAGTTGTATTGGTATTTGCGCTAGTGTATACGCGCGCATTCACGCACACACCCACGTAGTCACACTAGTTAGACCGTACTTTGCTCCAGGTCGTCGTCTTTCGGCGCGCCCCACCACGTCTCACTTCCTTCCGCGGCCAATAATTCATTATGGCAATGTAAGAAGAACTCGGGTCGTTTATTCACTCAGAGTCGATATCTGCCGCTTATTTATTGCGAGCAAATCATTATTCGAACGAACAATGCAAAGGAACGCCGGTTCGACGTTTCTTTTTTCCTTACCACGGAATTTTGCACATATATTAATTGTGCGATGAGTAACCTCGCCGTGTCATGGAACTTTTACATAAATCAGCGCCAACGCTTTTCGCGCATATTTAATCGGCCAGCACATTCGAGTGGCCAGAATAAAAAAAAAAAAAAAAAAAGAAACAACAACAATTTTATAACACTTTCCGTGGACGAGGCGGCCCCGTGTTTATATCAGAGGCCTTTCCCTCGCGACGCCCAAGTCCTCCTTAACAAATCGCCCGATACTTTTTCATTTCACAACAATAACATTTAACGCTCTTGTAACGATCGAGAACCATCGGATCTTCATAAACTCATAAACGAGCCGCAATTAATACCTCTGCCTCTCCTTCCTACTCACCGTGCTATATGAAAATCCTCTAGCGTAGACCGATCCGACGCCCTTAATTAACCAAGCTCGATTCGTTTCGTGTTATCGGAATTGCGGAGCAGCGCTTCCGCTAATTTTTCATGCAAATTATTCACACGTCAAGTCTTGTGCACAATTCTATGATGATTATTTAGGCCACATAATGCTCGATCCCTCCTGGATTCAGCGGCCAACCATTTGACTTCCGATTCTCCACGCGGTGCGATGTCCGCGTTAAAAATATTATGCGCTCGCTACTTCACAAAGACCAGGAATGCCATCGCGTTAACAAAACGGCCAATAACAATAACAAAAACAAAAACAAAAATAAAGAAAGGAATGAATGAATGAAAGTGAGAAAAGACGTGTAAAGAGAGGAGCCGAAAGGAAGGAGATAAGCAACAACTGGTTGGTAAAAATCAGCGCGACCGGTCACATTCGCGACTTGTACGCGCCAAACGATAAGAAACCGACGAGGCCTCTCCTCCTCGGTCCCCCTCCCAGCTGCCCCATCGCTATTCCCCTCCCTCCACCCCACCACACCCCATCACATCAACCTTACCCACCTACAAAGATAGCCGTCGAGAGAAATTCGGCCTCCCGGTTGAAATAATGGAGTATCCGGAGAGCGCGGCTCGCGTCTTTTACAAATAACTTAGCGATATAAGCGCGCAAGCAATCCTTTGTTACTTATTGAACACGAGTGGTGGGCCATCATCGCACGTCGATGCTCCGTTTTCAACTGCGCCAAGTCATCATCGACGATTCGTCGTGCTTTTACGTCCGAGTGGCCGAAACGCGCGTAGCTACTCCCTCTATCATTACATCGGATACGCGGCTTTTTCCCTCCTCGTTAGCGGATCTTGGTCGTTTAATCGTCGTCGTCGTCTTGGTCGACTCGGCGGTGGGCCGCATTTATCGCATTTGTCCGCTCGCTGAAAATAAAGTCTCGACGTGGTTCGTTTATAGTACAAGGGGCGAACGAACGCACGATGGAAGAAAGGAGCGTCGGGCGCTACCGCACCCCTTCCTACCGCCCCAGCCTCCCATCAAAATTAGCGCTTTTTATTGTCCTGGTACAGCCTTGGGGCGCTCGTACGAATACTCGCATTAAAAGTGAACCTTAAGAGCCACGCATCGTCCCAACTTCCCTCCCGATTAATAACAATATTACCATTCGACTCCCTCTCTCTCTCTCTCTCTCTCTCTCTCTCGCGCGCCCGCGCGCTTTCCGCTATGACGGCCAGTTGACAAAGAATTTTCAATGATATCTTTAATGTGAAATAAAAATATGCTGTCTGCTTATTTCGTATTTTAATGTGACTTTTATATTTTCTATTATCGATTCGATGATTCTTACATGGCTTGAACATTTTTTTTCTTATAATGCACTTGCAAGTTCATACTTTATAATTATTATTTAAATATAACTTGATGGTTCACAAGCTATTTACATGACTGATTCTCGAAACCCATAACATAGTGTATATTTTTGCTTTTTTTTTTCTCATAATTTTTATAATATAAATCTCATACGCATTTATGTACAAAATTCTATAAAATTTGGAAAGTTAGCGCTTACTGTACTTCTTGGTATATGAATATTAAAATGTTTTTGTTTTTGAAACACAAAGACGAAAGTAACGTATTTCGAATACTTGGTGGATTGGTACAACTTCCAAAGTTGGTTGTATAAATTAAAGGATGTATCGTTTGACGATCCGACTTGGAAGATTTTTGACAATAATCACAAAGAATCGTTGTTGGTAATTACGAAATTTGTCTTGTGAAGCCGTCGAAAGGATTTTCTCCGGTAATGTGGTCGCTGTGTTGGGGTAAAGCCTCGTACGTGCAAATAGTTACACCGTGTCGGTGGCCAGGAGTCCACTCTCCTTTTAAACCAATGTAGTCGATTCGTGTTCTTTCAGCTCCATAATTAGTACTAAAATGCAGAGTAAGGTAGTGCATCGAAGAAAATTTAGCTACTCTGAAAATGAAATAATTTTAATAAGCTAACAATTATATAGAAGATAAGAAATATGCTACATAAAAAAAACTATATTTTAGTGTTTCAAAATACTTGGTGGAAAATATCCATTCAATTACACCAATTATAATATTACAATATATTTTGTTTCTCCAAGATATTTGATACGCCTAAAAAGAGCTTGCAAACTCACTTTATTGGATACTCGTGTACGCCATGCTGATCGACGTATAACTCAAACTTTTGATCGGGTTCGCTTTCAGCTTCGTCGAATGTCATTCCTTCTCTATTCTTAAATCTAACATAAATACAATTAAATATTTACAACCTGAAGCTATTTAGAAAATAATAAAAAATTTACAAAAAATTAATAATATTTACAATTTGACCTCTGAAGGATGAGAATCGTCGGGTCCACCAACAATTATGAGTCCTTTTAATTTAATATCTCCTGTAAATCTGTAGACAAAATTTATTTTTAAATTTTAATATATGCGTAATTTAATGTGTATGTAATAAAAAATGTGCTCACGGTATATTAAAGAGAAGCTCTTGATCCACATCACTTTCCACAAACTGCAGAAAACAAACAACATTTATTGTATCGCAATAGTTGTAAATTAAATGTATATATATATATACATATACATATATTAACAGAACATTCATTAATGTCTAAATATTTTGCAATTTGTTTTAATTGATACATGAAACAGACGTATCAACCCTTAAATTAAGTTAAAACTTGACAGATTCGTACATCTTATTATACATACTTCTGTATGATCCAAACGATTTTCCCATGATTTGAATACTTTTGCTCCAGAGCCTTCTACTAACTCATTGAGGCATTTAATATTTTGCAAGTCTATCTTCTCATAAAGATTATACTGTATACCTAATTCTCCTTCGTTATGAATACTTCCGCACTGGCACTGACCCTCCATTTTACAATTTTACAAATCAAATTTTTTTACAACTACGTTTGTATTTGATTATTGTGGAAAAAATGTATTTAAGGCTTTCTTTCTTGCACGCCGGTTGCTTTTAACTTACAATTTATCTTTTCTCCGTCAACAAGTGCCTTATCATTTCGCACATTTTTCACAAGATTGCGCTACTGTTATGGAAGATACAAACTTAGAAGTACGATTCTGCAAAAAATTTTATAACGTTTTACAGGTATCACGTTGAAATTTCCAAGAAGCATTAAGGAAATGGAATAACGATTATTCTATAATATTAATAAGTATTTTTTTTTACTTTACAGCAGAGTTTTTTTTTTTAATGGAACTCGAGTGACATTTTGGTATTAGCAGTCGAAAATCAAGCTAAAAGTTAAAAAAATGAATTATACAAATTTTATTTACCTTTTTTTTCAGCCCAGACGTAGATTTTTCTTATAAATAGCAGTTCTAGCGCGAATTTTATATATACTTAAAAATGCTAAATTTATTTATTATAATTTATTAATGAATGTTTTTAGTATAATATTCTCAGCTTTATCCTGTAAATGTTTTAATATACGTTTGTAATCATTATTGCTATACTACATATAATCTTGATATTTAACGAATAATTTTTTTCACGGTAAATACAATTTTAAGTGCATTACTAGTTCAAACGTTTCTCAAAAATTCTGAAAATTTGCAATTGGAAAAATAATTCGAGCCAATTCGTTGTCCACACTAACAGCAAAATTCAAATAAACGTACATTAATTGTACGTACGCTCTTAATGTTCACTTGGGGATAAAAACAAAAGCAACACTGCCAGATGCTCTAGAAGAACAAAATCGAAAAATTATCCCTATGACTTCGAGAACATTAATAACAAGGCGGTTATTTGGCAGAAGAAATTCTTATTCATTCAAAATATGTTAAATCTTATTTCTAAATTGAGGATTTACATTTTTGAGAATTTACAGAGTTAAAACGACGTTAATAAGACAATCCCTTTTTGTATAATAGTCTAACAATTATAATTTACTAGTGTACAAAAAAATTATTAAAATTCGTAGAATAAATTATTATTTATTATTGTATATTGAAATTATTTAAACAGGTGATAAGATATGATCATTATTAAGAAAGATTATTAATTGAAAAGTACATTTATGCATAATAAGACAAGTGTAATTACCACAATCGGTCATTTGGCATTTTCACTCAATAACATTGTGAAGCACAATTTATATTAACTATGTATTCGTATAAAATACATCTATCTGATTCGTTCGGGTATTGTAATCTTATATGAGAAAATGAGAATGTAATTTGAGTTTTACGAATCACCTGTCATTGTACTATTTTATTATTCATTTTAATTAAATATTTAATATTGAAAAAAAGAAAAACTTTATAATTTGAAATAGATGTGTTGCTGTGTGTGTTTATTCAGAGAATAGAAACATGCATTTTTTCAATTCAAGAATTATTTTTTCATCTAATTTCTTAAACAAATTATATTTATTCATATGGCAACTTATTACTTAATAAATATCATATTTATGAATATGTTCTACTATAATTTTTTTTCATTGATAAATTAAAAACTAAATTTATCACTTATCAATATTTATAATTATACAAAAGCAAGGAACACTTTTTTTTTTTTAACGTACTAATCAAATTATTTAGTAAAACAAAAACCAACAAGTTTAATCATTCAATTTTTACTTCATAAAATATATATTAAATAAATTATTACACAAGTAGACGAGTGAAATTGATAGACCAATGAATCATGTGCTAACATTTTTGTAATTATCTGTAATTTTAAAAATAATTTGAAAGCAAAATAATGTTAAAATGTTAATCGTTATGCCTTAAGTATTCATTCAACTTATAATGTAATCAAAATCAAGTTTATTCCAATTTTAAATACAGAAAATAAAAAATAAAAAAAAGGTCAGATAATTACATAAACATAACATGTCTAAAATAATCATAATTGTTGTTTTAAGTAAATATATCATCAATTTTTGATACTCAATTTTTTATGAAATAAATAATTGAGTAATTCTGAAAATCATTTCATCTATTACATATTCTTTCATGTATTGCACGTTATTTACATAAACATAATAAATTCATTTAATATACATATTCTACAATTCTAAAATATAAAAAAGTTGAACTTTGAAAAACCACATATTTTCAGATATATCACTGATCAAGAAGACCAATATATGCATTCAAATTTACTTAAATAATTCACTTATTGGATAGTATAGTTACACAAATGTTGAAATTGGTGGTTTAATGTGAGTTCATTAACATGACCAAAGAATTTGCTTATGCAAAGTTATTTTACAGTTTTCATTCTTACACAAATAATATTAAATTTTGCTTGCTTGAAATTGAAAAAATTATTTTTACAATTTACTTATTACGACCTATTTTGTCTATATTAACATCTGGGTATAACATATGCATGTGAGTATCGATGATTTGATATAGTTCATGAGGCTGTGGTATTCTTCCAGTATCGATTTTGGACCATATGGGAACATCTGCAATTATATATACATCAATATATCCATGGATATTTAAAATATAATGCGTGTACCAGGTGGCTATAGAATAATGGATGGGCTACATAAAATTGGCTATTACCATTGAAATTTATCTCAAATGCACCGGATGATTTCAAGTATCCCTCTGTCGCATTGCATGCAAAATATAACATTATGCATGAATATAAACGGTTGTCCATGCACCATTGCCACCAGAAGGGTTGAGGTTGTCCAATCCATTGAAATATATTTATTTTACTGAATATTAAAATTATGACTAGAATCTTAGCTATGCCCTGTTACAATATAAATGCAGTGCTATTGAGTGAACTTTAACGTAAAATTGATAATCAATTGATTAATTTTGCTTACTAAGCCTTTAGCAATTATCATATTAGCTCCTGGAGGATTATAGTTTTCTCCATCGATTTGCAATTCAGGATATCTTTGTCGCAAAATGTTTACATAATCCTCAAAGACTTTCCTATAGCCACAGGAGTAACTAAAAGAATAAAAAAATAAAAATATCTGCTTACATTATTCCAAGAGATCGTCTTATACGATTGTTTAATAACTCAATATAAATGATGAACTATTCGGAAAAATTGCCAGTACGATTTAATTATAATAAACGATGCTTGACACGATTGTGCAATCAACTTTTACAACAATTTTAAAACGTATGTCCATTGGATAAAATAAATTATCCATAGATTCGAACGATATTTACTTACCAGTAAAAAAACTTTAATGTTGGTCCTGCTTTAGAGCTGAATTTGGTTAAAAGTACGTCGTCGTGTAAGTTTGCCTTCGACTCAAGCGAACAGAACAAAACAAAAATTATACAGAGACTCAGCTTTGACAAATACATTTTTAATTTGTCATTAATGAGTTGTCAATGCTACTTTTATAAGTATCCCCGATAGAGAAAGTTTGCAACACTTCACTCTCAACGTTATCAGGTTTTAGTATCAACCGAATACCCAAACCACCTGATTAACGTTGATTCAATTGACTTTGACAATCCCTGCTTATGTATTGGCTACCAAGCTAAATGCCTGGCTGAGTAGAAAGACTAGAGATTCTAGAAAGGGATTGGAATAACATACGCCATGTTTTCCAAAAGCGGAAGTGACTTTGGGATCTATGGGTTATTAGGGTTGATTATAATAATTTTCATTTATATTTTTTTTATATTCCTTTCTCTTTCTCATTCACACTTTGTATATACATACACGCGCTCGAACGCACGCCCACGCATACACACACCCACGCGCACACACACACACACACACACACATATATATATATATATTTATATATTTACACACACGCAATTACGCACGTACCCACGCGTGCATATGTGCGATGAATTTGCATATGCATATATTAAGCTCACTCGGTCTCTAGTTATTTTAAGGAAATAGTTATCAACACAGTGAAAATTCCCCTTGTTACTTTCATTCTGTAATATTCTTATCTATGATAAGGCTAATTTGCAAAATTCAGCAACAGTAAGGAAGGGGAATGTTCGCTTTTTTGTTTCACGTGGTACCTTCGCGCGTTTACCACCAATTCATATTTAAAATTACATGGATTAAAATATTTATTTTTTAAGAAGGAATTTTAAAGGAATTTTGGGAAGCTCGAACAAAACAATTATTATTAATGACGAACGAAATTTCCTTTTATGGAATTTATTTGATCCAATTGTTATACAATTGTAGCAAAATAAAAAAATAATTTTCAATATAAACAATATAATTTAAAACCTCAGTACATTACGAATTAAAATTCAATATATATTTATAGTATACAGTAGATATGTAATTTTTCATCTGCTAACTAAGAAATTAGCAATTATAACATGTATAAATACGAAATTTCATATAAGATTCTTAATTTGTTAAGAAATAAACGTATTTTTTATAACTACACAAGGTCCTGCTCTTCCAGAATTTAAAGGAGTAATTTGAGTCCACTCGTTAAGAATTGGATCGTACGCTTCCACTAAACTAAGATACTGCTGTCCATCGTAGCCACCAACTGCTAATAATTTATCGCCTAAAACACAAACTCCTATAGTATCTCTAGCACTACTCATTGGCGCTACGGTTGTCCAAGTGTCTGTCTTTGGGTCGTATCTTTCGACGCAATCAAATATATTATGCGGATTAATTAGCGGTGCATCATGACCTCCAAGAGCATACAAACATCCGTTCATTACACCGACACCTACACCACCACGTCGTCTAGACATTGGTGCACACGACGTCCATTTATTCGAATGAGGGTCGTAGCACTCCACTGAACTTAAGCAACAACTGTTATCTCGTCCGCCGACTGCATAAAGCTTATCGTTTAAAACAGCAACACCAACGGTAGATCGTTGATAACACATTGGAGAAACGTAAGTCCATTGATGTGACGTAGGGTCCCATCTTTCGACTGTATTAAGAAAACTCCAGCCATCGTGTCCCCCAACAGCGTACAACGGACCTTCCAATACCGCTACACCTAATCCATGGCGTGGCGTAGCCATATGCGGTAATAAACTCCATGTTTTTTTCTCAAAATCAAAACATTCGACTAAATTTAATGTTTTTAATCCATCCCGTCCTCCTGCAACCACTAGTTTTTTTTCTACAACCGCTGCTCCAAACTGCAAACGTTGACCAATCATGTTAGTTAGAGTCTTCCATGTATTTTTACGCAATGAAAAGACATCGATCGTTGTTGCGCATTTATTAACATTCATGCCTCCTACTGCCAACAATTGACCCACAGTTGCTTTCCTAGGTCTGGTACGATTAGATTGCAGCATAGGACGGCGTTCCGGAAGAAGATGATACTTTAAAGCTTCCATAATTAGGATCTAGACATGATATTACATTTAAAATATATAAATATCTTAAGCAAATTACTTAACAGAAATGACTTGTCAATATACCTGTGTATTTCTTTGTTCTTGAAACATTTCATTATTTTCTACATGATCGGTTAAAAATGCAGGGGATAACAAAGGCAGCTTTACAAAAGTCAATAAATTACTTGCTTCTTGTTTTCTATTTTTTGGATCATGCTCTAGCCACCTTAATAAAGCATTAAATACAGATTCTTCTGAAGTAACGTTGAGATCGTCTGATTGAAGTAAAGTTGCCACATCTTCGGCAGATAATAAAAGAAATTCTTGATGTTTTATCACTTCCATAAAATGGTCATTACTGTAAGTATTGGCGGTCTTCAATAAATTTGAACAACCATGAATGTCGGCAAATTTTCTTATTCCTAAACAATTACTGGGATCCAGTTGTTTGATCAAAAATTGGCAGCAAGCTTTGACTACGTAATCTAGTTGCAATAAAGATGCGGTTGCTAATAATGTTTCAATATTGTCCTCCATTAGATCGATGGTTCCAGTATAAAAATAAAGTATTAAAATCCAAAGAGCATCTCCATTGACCTCTTTCAATTCAATTTCATTCTGCAATGTCTCGCGAAGAGTGTTGGTAAACATAGCTGCAAAGTACTCGCAATTAGCACTCAGTACCAATCTATGAGCTGGAATACGTGTTTTCCCCGCCACAAGAACTACATCGGTTAATTGCTGATTATACAAATATTGCTCCATAATGTGCAGACAGCGTTCGGAATGTTTTTTCATTTTGAAACATTCATCTTGGGGACTGTTTGTGCTATTACTAGCAACACTACATTTTCTAGGCGAGGTGTCACTCGAATAATAAAATTTTTCTGCCTTTTTCATTATGGATATATTCAACTTCGTTAATTAAAATCCAAAATCCGCCCAAACTTATGAAGCTTATATTATGTCAACAACATAAATAATCTTGATTTCAATCAATATGATTAAACATAAAGGAAAGTAATTATCGAAATATTATTTAAATTCTTTAAATAAAAGATATTCACTACGTCGTCTTCTCCTCAATATTTTAAATAAAAAACAAGTTATGAAAATAAAAGCACTGCTGCAATGCAGTGCATTTTATTTCCATTCTAACTGTGAATTGTGAAAGATATGACCTGTTAGTACATTCAATTGCCGATGGTGGCGCTGTTAGATGAAGCTGCAGGAATTGCGCCAAAGCTGTGTTCAAATTACAAATTGATGGTTCATGATTTGTAAGGGTCTTCCACCAAGGAGAAGCGTATTCTTAATAATTAATGAATAAATAAATGCCTTCCATTGAGATAGATGAGGCTGATGTTAAAATGGCCAGCATAAAGTTTATTTATCTTTGTTCAGAAACATATGCGGGTACGTCAACTTCATATGCACAAGTTTCCATGAAGTGAATGTATAATGTACAAAGCTTTGATATAAACTTAACATAACTTATTTACACTTCAGATTTATTGCACTATGTGCAAAAGTATAGTTGTTTATTAGTCATTGACAGATCGTCAGTTGGTAGGGGGTTAGATTTGTATGTATTATTTCATTTGATTAGATTTTCAAATTGATTAGATTTTCTCTACAAATTTATTGAAACAAACGATTATTCTCTTGCTCCAATTTTATCCACACTTACAACTTGAAATTGGCACGTCGTTGCATCACATTGCAAAACCCAGAGAAAAACTATGAACTACAAGATTGCTAATTGGTAATTGAAATATAATTGCTGCAATGGTAGGGGAGTTTTGATTAACAATGAAAAAGTTGTAACAATAACTAATTAGTAATTTCTTTCTTCTTTAAGACAATTCTACATTAATACATTGTTGTAAATGAAATGAAAAAATAGCTTTATTGCTTTGCGATAAGAATATTTGAAATTTCGCAGAATTGCTCCTTCACGCGCTTTTAAATCTCTTAAAGCATAAATTCCAAATTAAACAATCGATAGGGAGTTTACGTATAAAAATTCATATTTTACTATTGAAGATACATCTTTTAGAAAAAAAGGAGGAAAGAAAAAAGAGAAAAAAAGCGAACGTTCAATTATTTCTAAATTTCGATTTCATTTTTTTATGAATTCTTTATGTATATTATTTTCTCGAATCTCGTGGGCTTTCTACGAAAAATGATTGCTTTTTCTGTTTGTCTACATTATTAAATAAAAACAATAATGCTTATAAAGTAATAAGACATATTTCAAGATTACAGAAATCTTGAATGTTTTAAAATGTTAAATTACGTATTGAATTCCAACGTAATCATTAAGGAAACATTTTTTATTTACAAAAGACATTTTTTAGATATATAAAATTTCAATGCTTTACAACAAACACACAATTCTGATTCAAAGTATATTATAAAATATATTAATATAAGAAATGTGAAATTATAGCCTACATAATTAAGCTGTCATAAATGCAAAATAAATATTAGAAAATATATAATTCTGTACGTATAAGAAAAGTTAAAAAAAAAATGTAAGCTAAATATCGTTAAATTTTCATAAAAAATTAGTTATTTATTATTGAGTTAATAATAAATGTTATGCTTATTTCCGAGACAAACCAATATAAACAAAATTTCTAAAAGCAAACCGCTGCAATTTAATAGAGATCTATTACTTACTGCATTAAGATATTTTGTAAAAATTATTTTCACAACATTTATAATTTGCCTAGAAATTATTCATAATTTATAGAATTAGTATATATATATATATATATATATATATATATATATATACATGACTTTGTACGACCGAGTTAGTTATGATGTTTTTATAAGAAAATTTCAAATGTAAATCTTACCTTGATAAGAAATATCCCGCTCCCGTGCTTGAACTTTTGAATTTTTTCTCGTACGAATTTTTACATAAATATACACGAATAAAATACCTGTTAGCACACATACATTACATTTTTTTTTTGTTTTTTTTTTTTTTTTTTTTTTTTTTTTTCAAATCGACGATATTGTTGAGTTTAAATTTTTTTCAAAATCTTGTCGTGCGGCATTTCAATGCACGCCTAAAAAGTTATTAATATATACATAAAGAATAATATAAATAAGGCAATAAATTGTTAAGCGTCACAATGATTGATCTAAAATCCTCTCGATTTATTTCTTCGTTTGTACATTGTAGACATATGGGTAAATTTATGTTTTTACTGTAGATGTTTTTCGCGTAAATGTACTACATAACCTTGTAAATTAACCTTAAGAATTACAAATTATTTGCATATTGTTTTTATTATATTAAAAATAATTTAAACAATATTATTCGGATATTATAGTATGATAAAATAATAATATTGACTTTAATAATGATAAGAATATTAAGTCGTTTAAATAATTTCAGCCACATATAAGAGATTTTTTAGGAACACAGGTATATTATCGAATGGAGATAAATATGAAATAACATTAGATCAAAAAAAATTAAAAACACCTCTTGGTAAAGTATTTGAAGTTAATAGTAAGCCATTGGCTTTGGCTGTTGCTCACGAATGGGACAGTCAAAAAGAATTAATTAATCGAAATTTCATGCATCTAGTAAGTCAATGTATAAATAATTTACTTACGATAACGATAATTACTTAATGAAAGCACATGTTTTAGACTGCGCTTTGTAGTACAGTACAGGATAATCCTAATAAACTAACGAAAGCATACATTGCGAATTATATTGTAAATTTTTTGGAAACTGATACATTGCTCTTTCAGTCTAATGGAAAGGAAAATGTAAGGACTTCTTTTCATATAGTTTGAATTTGTTAATTGGATATTTATTGAAAATTTTATTAATATAGGAAATAGATGATTTGTATAAGTTACAAGAGGATAAATGGGATCCTTTAATACAATGGTTTTGCGATCGATATCAAGTTGATATTGAAAAGACAAAAACTATAGATGCACCAATTGTATTATCGAGTACTAAACATGAAATAACAAAGCATTTATTATCTTATAATGATGAGGCAGTTTTTGGTAAATCTGAGTAACATAAATAATATACGCAAGGACAGTATTAATCGAAATGCCTATTAAATATTTAAAATATGAAGTATGAAATGATTTGTAAATTGTTTGTAATTTTTTGCGTTTGTAATTACAAATTGTTTGTAAACTTTGAATACCTTTTGAAAAATACAATACATACATACTTTATATTTTATGCTATTTAAATACATTTTTTTGTCCCGTTTTAACAATTTAATAAATATTTTAAATAATCTTTGTAGGTTTTATGTATGGAGTAGACACTGTGAAATCTGTTATTCTAACATTAGCAGCATCAGAAAGAAGAATCACTATTGAAGAAGCCGTTGCACTTTCTAGATTAGAGGAAGAGTATCAGGTATTAAAATTTATAATTATAACACTTACTATTCTAAAAAATTATAACATCTATCTTTCAGATTTCCCATTGGGGGAATATAGAGTGGTCGCACGAGCTTTCTAAATATGATTTACAATCACGAATGGCAGCTGCGATCCTATTCATTCATTTCAATTCTTATTTTAAAACAAATCAATTAAAAACGAAGACAACAAGTATCGTATGAAGGTAAATTGAACTACTTATAATATAAAACTACTACATTAATTATGTTTTTATGGCGAGTCCAATATCAATTCTTATGGCACAGTGGATTCGAAGTGCAATTCACTGGATTAGAACATTCGGGTCCTTCCCAGTTTTTCATGCAAATGCAGCTGTGAAATAAAATTTAATATTACACAATCGGCTGTATAAATTTTATCGGACATTCGTTATTTACCTATACGTTGGTCCATAATTCAAACAAACTGCTCCATTTTTACATGAATGATGAGAACATTCGTTACGGTGGCATTCCCCTACTCCTCTACCAGTTGCTGGACTAGACATTGTTATTGGGAAGACATTGTCATCTGTATGTAATACAATATCATATATACAACCGGAGAATCCCGTATGAAGTGGCAAATCATGTGGCAACATTTCAAAATATTTTGATTTGTGCCCACCTATCGAAACAACATATTTTGTTAGTTAGTCCAACGACTTTGTTATATGATTTTTTTTTTTTTATTTTTTTTTTTTTTAATAATACAATTTACTTAAAAACAAAAATGTATATCTATATTATATTAATAAACTGACCAATATAAAGAATTGGCGATACATCTAAACGCGTGTTTGTGCCAGCAGCTCGACCAGTTATATTGCCTATACCGTTGACATACAGCCAAGAATCTCTACCTCTTCTACCAAATTGTAATGTATGAACTTTGTTAGTTCTAATATTAAGGGGACTGTTTGTAAAAATTCTTTTAACGCCAGAGCCTAAGTCCCACGTTAGCATTAGATATCCTCGAACATATGTGATCGAAAAGTGATCAGAAGATTCGCGCATTGAATTACTTTGACCCATATAGGCTATCAATGCAATTTGTTCCAATGTTTGTGGAATAATTCGCATTTTTAATTCCATGTGGTCCTTAACAGAACTACTGACACCATACGCTATGTAGGATGAAAATCCAGGTAAAATGGCTGAAAATGATGGCTGTACTACTGTAGTATCTGAGAAAGAAAATTGATCGAAAACTGTACGACGTTCAAGCGATTTAACATTAAAGATATTGTGTAACATTACCTTTTTCGCAATATAATCCATGTGTGCCGAGAGGGCAAACGCAAATAAAATTGACTCCTGGTGATATTAAACATGTAGCACCTAAATGGCAGGGATTGTTATCACAAACAGTTCTTTCACAAGTTTCTCCACTAAAGCTATAAATAATTTTTATTATCATTCCTATTTCACTGCTTTTATAATATTATACTTTTGCTTACCCTGTAAAGCACTTGCACTTTGTTTTTCCATCTATTTCCTCGCAAGCTCCGAAGTTTTTACACGGATTCGATAAACATAAACTGAATTTGAACAGCCTCTGCAGAATCGCGCAAAAAATCGCGATTTATACCATTAACCTTAGAGAAATAAGCAGTTTATTTTGAAAAGTGATTTTTTTTTAATATAACGCACATTAATTAACAGGGGCATATATTTAGTTTGCTATACTTTCAACGAACTCATGCATCCAATGAATCCCATTGCAATCTGGGCAAATGGCTGGGAAAATGTTAAAGGTATTCCGCCCAAATGTAATCTAGCGAATTGAGGAATACTCTCGTGGCTTTGCAAAACTTGTTCGCCACTCATTGCTAAAGTGTTGTTAACAATTAATTGACCCGAACACTTATCGGAAATATCCTCGACTGTATATTGAAATCTGTGAAAAGTGAAAAAAAATCGGCTATAATCGTTGAAATTTAGCAAGGTTAAATTAAAGCTGTCTTTACCTCATTTCAATATCAACATTATAACCATTATTTATTGGCAAATCTAATTCGCCAAGTAACATGGTTTGTAAGCCACATGAGAATTGAAATTTAAGCTGTTCCATTTCCATATAAAGTAGAATGTATCTTTCGTCGTCGAATAGGGTATGGATAAAAATTCCACTTTTCGCCCTCGTTTTCAGTCTTACAAAAATTTTTAAAATTCCATTTTCTATCGTGAATTTTTGCCTAATGTATGATTTTCCACTAAATGCCGCATGCTCTATACTTGGAGATATTCGACAGTTGTTCCAGTAGCTGCAGTCACACTGCAAATTATCGTAGATGAGTAATTTTAAGTATCGTCGCTCGTGCTTAGAAAATATTGGTACAAGGATAATTTATTGGGGGGGGGGAATCTTGCGAGTTGTAGGAAAGTTGTATCTCTTAAGAAACATCTACATGAATTATTTAAAAAATTAGAGATCTGTAAGAATGCAAACATAATTTAAAATTTAAAAATGTTCTCAGCTCACTTGAGTGCCATTGTGAAGGCAGAGTGACGTATTTGCACATTGATCTTTCGTACAACTGTAGACGATTTCATATTCTGTTGTACTAACGACGTTCGGCATCTCGCTCTTAATCATTTCTGTTCCATAGGTAGTTTTAAAAAATTCCGTCACAGTTGTAAAATCATCATCGCTCGTAGTACTCGTCGCTTTAGATTCCATTGTCGTTGGAGAACGCGAAAACATCTCCGTGTTATCGGGCATATTAAAATCTAGTTGAGTAACCGCATTGCTAGCAGTTTGCTCTGGAATAATAGTGGAAGGTACCATAATTACCATTGGAGCTGTTGTTATATCAGGGGTAATGTTTTCTGTAACAGAGAAGCTGGTAGAGTTAAGCGTTATTGCCTCGTTGTAATCTGCATCGGTAGACCTTTCAACGGACGATGCAACAAGCGATTCCGTAGTTGTTTCTGGCCAGGTTAATTCTATCGCAGGTGTTAATGTGGTTTTAACCGTATCCAAGTAAACTGGAATTTCCGTAGAGACGTCAGTCACGGGGGCCTTTGCTGTTGCGCCAACCGTCGTGGACGATTGATTAATGTCATTTGAGTTTATCGATCGCATTGTCGTTGATTCATCTAATTCATCTAATGTAAATGCTTGCGTAAGGCTTTCATTACCAAATGGGGTTTCAATTGTGGTTTGAAATATATTATTCTCGGAAGTTTGAACCGGATAAATCTCGTCCATCGATTTGGCGTAGGTTTTAAATGTTGTGACATTTATGGCTTTGCTGCTTAGATCCTGTGATACGGAAGTGAGCAATGGTGTTTCTTCGGGCATCGTTGTATAATTTTGCCCGAGTGTTGTAAAAGTCATTTGATCATATTCCGTGCGACTTTCAATTTGGATTGTAAGCACTTCTTTAACATTTGTAAATTGCGTAGTATCGATAGTTTTGTCGGTTGAATTTTGAATGGTAACGAGTTCGGGCTCCTCGCCGTTAATTGTCGTTACGCAAGAATTTCGAAGACAATTTTCCGTGCTTGTAACAACAGTGTCGTCATCTTGGATTGTATAAGACATAGTGTTTATGTCGAATGGGACTGCTTTTTCAGTAGTATAAACATCAGAATTATACATGGGCACGTCCATTGACGTAGTCTCGACAACAAGTGTACATCGTTCTCCTGTATATTGAGAAGGACAGGAGCAAGTAAAATTATTTATACCATCGATACAGGAGCCGCCATTTTCGCAGCGAACAGATTTCGACTCGCAGTCATTGTATTGCAATTCGCAAAAGGTCCCGTGATAATCGGGTACGCAGTAACAAACGGATTGGCCATCTTCGAATAAACAAATTGCATTGTTCCGACAGGGATTTTCTTGACAAGGAACGATATTCTTATCACAATCTTTACCGGTGTAACCTAAATAAAAATGATCGATACATCTTAATGAGTAAATTTATTTTAATTAAATTGACTACAATAATCGCATATGTCTTTCGTGTAAATTATTGTCTAAGAATTTTAGAATAAATGGTGGAAAAATTGCTGCTCGGTATAAGTTATAAAATAGGTACGAAGCTAACGAAGTTTGCGAGTAATTAAAACTATTTATATTATATCGTTCGTTCGTAATTTTTCATGTTAACTGTCCCATTGGAGTGCAATAAAAAGTGTTTTTCTCAATTAAACAATAGCCGTGACTTTTATAATTTATCCTGTTTTCGAAAAGATCTTCTACGTTTATCATTACATCTCTTACCAAACAAACATGCACACGTGTACGTCCCAGGCACATTAATGCAGAGACCACCGTTCTGACAAGGCAACAAATTGCATTCATTGACATCTTCTTCGCAATATTTTCCTGCCCAGCCATTCTGACAATTGCACATAAACGATAATCCAGGCCCTTCAATGCATTCTCCAAAATTTTTACAAATAGTATTATTACAAACCGATGTGTCGATTTCACAAAAGTCTCCTGAAACATTTGCAGGAAAAGAGTGTCAATTGACGATACTATATATTAGGAAGTTTAATGTTATATAAAAAAAAAAAAGTAAAACAAGGTTAATTAAAGCAATTAATTCTACCGGAGAATCCTTCGAGACATTGACACGTAAATCCATTGTAATCTAAACATGTTCCATTGTTTTGACAAGGATAATTCATACATTCACTGTATTTTTGTTCGCAAGTCATACCTAAAGTAGTTTACAAAGACAATTTCATAATTAAATGGTCGACGCTGTTTTTTCATCGAAGACCTTTCAACAATTTCTCAATAACATTAGCATAATCATACCTACAAAACCTTCTAGGCAGCTACAATTGTAGGATGCTACAGCATCAGTGCACGTGCCTCCGTTCAAGCAAGGATTCGACCAACAATCGTTCCAATTGGTCTCGCAATTGATACCGGTGTAACCGTCTATACAATAACATCGATACGAACTGAAATTTTACATACAATATAGACTTATTCGCCTGGGCAATATTAAGAATTTTCATTGAATTTTTCCATTAAATCCAAATCCATCGAAACACATATTTTTAAAGCAATCCGTGAAAAATTATATAGATTTACCTGCTCAAGTCGTCCACGCAAATCCCATACATGCAGGGATTGCTGATGCAATTCGAAGCCATTGACGTCATAATTGTAAAGGCTATAAATATTGTTATCACCCTTTTGTGCCATTGTATGCCAATAACTTTGAAAAATCTGAAAGAGACGTAGATAGCAAACATTCATTTTTTTTTTGTTTTTTTGTTTTTTTTTTTTACTTAATTCGATTTAACCGTGGGAAAAAAAAAAATTAATAATCTTCTTGAACTTTCATTTATTGTTGTGAGATAATAGAAATTCAAATTTTCAGAATAATGAATTGACCGGCGACATATTATTATATCCTGTTAATGTTTAACCGCAACAATTGTTGCGATTAAGTGATATTCGACTGTTGACAATAGCAGTATGAATGAAAGCCAATGGATGGCGGGTACGAACAAAAAACAAACAAAAACAAAAACAAAAACAAAAAAAAAACAAGTACAGATAGATACTTCATTCGATTAATGATGAAATATTACCTCGGCATGTTCGAACACTTAATTAAAATGCGAAAAATTGATTAAGGATCAACTTGGTAAATTGCACATTGAACAAGCCACTTATCATACAATCAGTTACCATGCCTACGTACACAAGCAACACATAGTGGAATGATACGTGTCGTTAATCTGGCTTGATGCATAATTATTTAATGTGAAGAATCAATTAGAAGAACTAATTAATCGTTCGTACAGAGGCGCTATTTTAAGATTCTATTACAGGGTCAAATCGATGTAGATTTCAAAGTATTGAGCTAATTTTTCATGCTCGCTCCTTCATCAGCATAGTAGTGTTATTTCGCATCTTCATTCTTATATTATAAATAAAGTTTTTTTTTTTGTATTTATATTTTAAGCAACTGCATTTGCATATTATATGTCATACAGTGATTATTTTATCATATAAGCAAAATGAAATTTGAACATAAATTTTCGTATATGTATTTCGTATAAATATTTCGTATGTGTACGTATTTTATTTATTTGGCCATGTTATTATATATAATGAGATAATGATCTAATGCAAATCAAATAATATAGAAAATCATGCTTGATTATAAATAATTTGAAAAAGTATTTGATAAAGAGCATGATTTAGATATTTGTTTAGAGATAAAAATTTTACTAATAAAAATGAATGCATATCTTAAGCCAAACTCACAATCTCATGAATATATGTTATAAATATAAATACATTAACTGTTAGAAAATTTCGATTATATCATTATAATATGGATTTATCGATAAATAAGATAGTTTTGTTAAAACTTGCATTGCTGGTTCATTGGTGCAAAGAATTGGCGAATAATTTAATTATTCTTGAATACGAAGTTTTATTTTCATCATATATACAACTGAATAATAAATTACGTTTTCATTGCTTCTTGAATATACGAGAGATCAAGATAATTGATAATATTTTATTTTCTTACACTAAAACTAGCGTATTAACTAACATATAATTTGTAGTAAAGAATATAATACGACATTTGAATTTTATAATTTAAATTCCAAACTATATTGTCGCATTAAGATAGTAAAATGTAGAATTAATCATTTTTAAATTTAATTTTCGTAGATTAGAAAAATTATCCTACAAAAATATTCGATTCAACTTATTTATAGTTATAAGCAAATTTATTTATCTTAATTATTATATAAATCAGTTTTATATCTAAATAAATGGTCAATTGATATTTATGGTTATAAGTGTGCGTGTGTGTGCGCGCGCGCGCGCGTGTGTGTAAGCTGTATGTTGTAAATTGGTAGTTAAATGTATAAGATATAAATATACGCAATGGCATCGAAAATCTATTTTAAGTAGACCAAGTCTATCTTAATCGTCCAAGGCGTCGCTACCGTCTCTTTTGGAAAATAATTAAATGTTTCGGTGAGGAACCGAGTCATCCAGACATGAGTAAAAGAAATGTCGAAAGATAATATTGATATAATTACATGTGATAGTTTCGTTGCAAACGTTAATATGGAACCAGAAGTCGTGGATGCTAAGTTACGTTGTTTCTTAAATTGCCGTGGTTTATTACAAGAATCGGAACTCACCTGCTGGAAAATTGGATATTCTAAATTAAGTACGTTGACAAACTTTCTTTTTAAGAAACTTTTTTTTACTAGAAAAGTTTTTAATCCTATTACAATTTAATATTTATAAACAATGACGTTGTGATTTTGAATAATTATGAAATGTTAATATAATTTTTTTATTCTTAAGCGATATTAAACAAGCTTCCATTAATCATCATAGGTAATATTGTATTCTGCTAAAGTTAGAAATAGCTGTTAATTAATAATTTACATTGAAAATTAATAAAGCCAAGGTGTAGTTTATAAAGTCTCCGTTTAAAGAAAATAATAAATGAGGACAGCAATGACATACAAATGTAAAATCTATAAGATAAAGGTAGATTAATTAAATCTGTATATTAAACATTGGATCTATTAGAAAATATTTTCCTTCAACATTTCGTCTCCCAAAATGAATGAATGAAAATATGCTTGAGACCCATCTTCTTCCGCATATAAGATATTCTTAAATTACTAAAAGTTAGAAGAAAAAAAATTTTTTGTAATAATCAATTGTAGACTAATAAAAAGGAGATTTACATGATCTGTTTTATACTCTCTTATATAATTTGTTTGTAAGACATTCGATACTCTCATCTCCTGCTCGTAGCTCTAGGGTTACCTATTAGGAAAACAGGCTTCAACGTGTAAAGTACATTCATTTCTATATCAACGAGTATTCCATAATTCAATAAATATCAATAAATTGTCGCAATATAAAAGAAACATGAATTTTTTTGTTCGGATAATTATTCCCACGTATAATTCACGATTAACGAGAAGATATATATATATATATATATATATATAGAGAGAGAGAGAGAGAGAGAGAGAGAGGTAAGAAAAAATATTTTGGCGAAAACTGATGGTAATGCTAATCCATCGAGTCAATAATGTCGTCGTAATCAGCGACATTTAAATAACGAATGAATTACGAATGCAACGTGGATTTTGATAATGATAATCAGGCTCAGTGATGGAGTTTTATAAATAATTTTAGTAGTGGGGAAGAGTTGTCCAAGCATCTACATAGATACACGTTCAATCGAAGCATTGGCTTTCGAATTGCGCGATGACGAGTAATCCCTGAAAGGGATTCGTAAAATCAAAATAATCGTTGATTCAGCCGAGCATTGATTATCTGATATTACGAGGAGTGAAGAAGCATAATTGAGGATGATGGTTGCATTGATTAGGTGGCCGGGGTCTGCTAGCAACTCGTAACATCGAGCGCGACGAGCTCATTTACGTGGACTCGGCGGTGGTCCTCGGTCCCCGATGTTACAGCAAGTATCTCCCGATGTGCGTAAGCTGTTACAAGAGCGGCTGCGTCCTCTTCCCCTGCGACCTCGGCTGCGGACTCCCGGTCTGCTCGGACGTCTGCCAGAACGAACGCCGACACGTCGAGACAGAGTGCACCTACTTGCGGAGGCTCGAGACGACCTGTGGCCCATCCTGGTCCCTCGAGCTGCTCCAGGCGGTCGTGCCGATCCGGGCCCTGCTGCTGGCCAACGAGCAAAGGGACATCTTTTACAGCCTGCAATACCACGAGGCGCCTCAGCATGGTCGAGAGGTCCGCCCATTAAGCACTTTATCTCCCTTTTTTATTAGGCCAGGACGATTGGCGAGCGTTTGTTAGCGTTAACGATAGATGGACCCTTAATGCGCAAACTTAAGCTTTACGGAATATCGAATTAGCTTGAGTAATAACGAGCAATTGTTTGCATTAGTCACTCCTGAGACATTGATAAGAATCTCACTCAACTTTCGACCATTTTACGAAAGTTAGGTTTATTTTGGAGCCAAACAACATTGGCAGTGTTCGATGATAGCGTATTCCGTGTAAATCTAAACTTTTCCAATCAATGCCAAACGGATGCTGCCCCCGTTGATTTAATCCTAATGCGCGTCTTATTATTCACAAGTCATTATTCTTTTAATTGATCGAATTTATTGTTCCCGATTAAATGTTAAAAAAAAAAAAAAAAAAAATTACCGGACGTAAAAGGATAATAAACACCGTTTAAAGCAAAGTAATAAAATTTATAAAAAAAAATGAGTAGGTTCGCTCTATTTGTAATTACACGTAATTAACAAGAACTACACATTTATATATTTTTAAGCTTATTCTTTTTATTCATTTTCTTTTTAATTATTTTGTATTATTATTATCGTCGTTTCCGTTGATATTATTATAAATATAAAAAAATAATAATGACAAAAGCACACAGAAAATACATTTATATATACATATGTACGCATATATATATATATATATATATATATATATATATATATATATATTTAATTTTTTTTCTCCAGAAAACATACGTGCGCACAAAGTGCCGTTTGACATTTATACATATTTTCAGTATTACCTAATATTTCCAGGTTAAATTGATTTTCACCGATTACACAATTTTTTTAGAATTCCGTAAGTACTTATGACTTGCAACCTATTGACTACGCCAGGGATGCGTAATCATTCAAAATTTCTAACAGTATGCACGCCTTCTCCACTCTATCTTAATTATCCCTTAAGCATGTAAATGCCCCGTGGTCGTGTGCCATTTAATGAGATATCAGTTGAATAACTGACAAAAGCAAAAAACAAAACGAGGCTGAATGTTACGTGGAATGTTTTGTCTATTGTTTTTTTTTCCTTTTCTTTTCATTCTTTTTTACATTTTTCTCTGTTTATCATTAACAAGCTCTTATTATAACGACATGTTTGTATAAAAATAATATATATTACAACATTTCCAGGTACAGGTACTTACATCTCGCCGTATAAAAAAAGAAAAAACAATATATATATATATATATATAAATCGATACGTTTGTACGGCTTGTTCCACAAGATAAGATTTAAAAAAAAATAGTCAAGTTTTTGTTAGAATAGCGACATAAGTGTGTGGGACGGTAGATGAATGGGATCTATGTAATCGAGTAATCGCTTGCTTCAATGAACAGAGGAACGTCAATTTTCATTTGTTTTGGAAAGGCAGGCGTTGCCGACCTTGGAGCGATTGGGCACGCAAATTTGCTCGCTGATAAAATTACCGACATCGACGAGCTTGTCCAAGTCGATGCCCGTCTCCATACCCTCGCCGTGCAGCAGGTAGACGAGGTCCTCGGTGGAGACGTTGCCGGAGCTCCCGGGCGCATACGGGCAGCCCCCGAGGCCGGCGACGGAGGAGTCAAAGACTCGAATGCCCTGGCGTAGGCACTCGTAGATGTTAGCGACGGCTTGGCCGTAAGTGTCGTGGCAGTGTACGGCGAATCGCCAAATGTCGCCGCCGGTCATGGCACGGATCTCGTTGAACAGTAGGCCCATCTTCTTGGGTGTGGCTACCCCGATGGTGTCGCCGAGTCCGATCTCGTAGCATCCGATGTCGAGGAGGGTCTCGGCCACCTTGGCCACCTTGGTTGGCTTCACCTCGCCCTCGTAAGGGCAGCCCGCGACACATGATATCACGGCTCTCGTGCGAATCTTCCGCTCCTTGCAGATCTGACGTATCGTGATGCAATGGCGTAAGCTTTCCTTTATCGTGCAGTTGGTGTTGTGATGGGTGAAGGAGTCGGTCGCCGCGGTGAATATGACGACCTCTTTCACGCCGAGGGACAGCGCCTTCTCCAGGCCTTTGACGTTCGGTACAAGGACCGAGTAATCGACGTCCATATATTTCGATATTCCTTTGTAGACTTCGCTGCTGTCGGCCATCTGGGGTACCCACTTGGGCGAGACGAAGCTCGTCACCTCGATGGACCGTAGTCCCGTCTGCGACAATTGGTTTATCAGCTTGATCTTCATGCCGGTTGGCAATACCGCATTTATGTTTTGCAGGCCGTCCCGCGGACCCACCTCTACCACCCGGACCATGTTCGTGAAGGCTCGGACATGTTTTCGGAATGCGTTGAATTTACGCCAACTGCAGGAGAACATTTCGCTCGCGTAATCTGCAATCGTTAATATCGTTCATCAATAATCCGTTTGAATTGTTGATGATGATGTCGTGGAGCAAAAGGCCTACGATACCTCATCGACAATTTCGCGTGTCGCTTTTCTTTATTTAAGCGTCATTCTAAGCTTTCATTAATTCAATTAAATTAAACATCGAGGGCAATATCATTCTCATTATTGCTTGATGAAACATAACAAATAAAATACGTCAAACATCCGGTCTGTAACAGTCGGTCCGGTCCGGTCCGGTCCGGTTTGTAACAAAATTCTTGCTTAAATTACAAAAACGATGTGTTTAAGCACATGTTTATATTTTCAAATGACTTGCGACTCGTACAAAAATACTCCTGAATATTAGAATACTGAATTATTCCGGAGGCATTAGTATTGTTTACTCTATGATAATAACAATGATAAATTATAATCTTAAGAAGGCTATGTGGTATATTTATTTTTGATTAAAAAGAATGTGTTCAAAATTTGAGAAACAAAAAAAAGAAAAGAAAAGAAAGAAAGATTTTGTAGAAAAGCGATTAAAATGCCAAATTCTAATTGATAATTCAAATATTAATTCTTCTAAATATATCAAACATTTTGATAAAGCTGAGACAATTATGGTTATATCTATCGTAATTAAACTTTTGTAGTTCATTAAATGTTATTACATTTTTAAAAAAAATCGCGTTATTAATCGAATGTAAAAAATTGTTGTAAATATAAGGATAGAAATTATTTCAACTAAAAGCCAATATCCAATTCTTTACGCACCTTGATACAACTGTGTGCGTGCTCGTGCGAACGTGTGGTATACGCACACATGTATACGTTAAGAAAATATTAAAGATTAATATTTTTCATTTATTAAAGATTACTAAAAAAAACTCATCAATGGCTTAAAATAGCCGGCATAAAAAACAATAATGTTTTAAAAATTAATATTCATATTATCGCTATACATTTAAACACCGACACACACATGCACACATGCACACACACACACACACACA